GCAGGGGGAGCCACGGCAATGGCGCCTGCAACTCGCGAAGCCGCTTCCGTAATCGGGCCCCCTCCCAATCCTCCTCCCCAATAGGCACGCCCACCACAATAAGACCCTCCTCCTCCCGCTGCATCCCCAAAGGCAATGCCCGCTCCATATCCCCACCTCCACGCTCCCAAAACCTGCACTTGTGCGCCTGCACTTCCAGCCCCACCCACTCCAACCTCTCTCGCAGCACCCCAAAAGCCTCCAGAATCCTAGCCGCTGGTCCCAGGATGTAGGTATCGTCTGCATAGCTCAAGAAAAGTAGGTCCCTGAACTCTCTAGTCACCGTCCCCAGCACCTGCTGCTGCGTGAAAGCGAAAAGAAAAGGGCCGAGCGGGTCCCCCTGTCGCGATCCTCGTGCCGACTCAAGACTCTGTACGAAAGGGCCCGCTCGGAGGTACAGGTCGCTAGGTGTCCCATAGAAGACACGCAAGAATGGGATCATTCCTGAGAAAGGCGACTCCTTCAGCCCCTCGAACATCGCGTGGCGATGAAACGAATTGAAGGCGTTCGCGACATCTATCTGCAGCGCACACCAGTCGGGGTGAGTGGCCAGCGCTGACCGGAAAGAATGAGTAAGAATCTCCACCCCGGCCCTGGTGCCCACTCCCAGCTGGTTACACGGCAGAAAATAAGAAGCCATCACAGGGCGAAGCGAGATGCAGAGAGCTCGAGCGAGGATACGCGGAAGCACCTCCCCGATCGCCACCGGCCGGACGTCACCGTTGGGTTTGGAAAGCCCGACTAGGTTGGAAGCGGCGAGCCAGGGCCGAGCTCGCTCGGGGACCTGTCCCGCCACCCATTGGTTGAACACTTCCAGCAGGTGGGAGAGGCAGGAAGGTTCCGTGAGGAAAGTGTCGCGCAGATGCTCTGTGACCCATCCCGATGGCCCTGCAGCTGAGGCGCGAGCAGCTGTGTGGATAGCTCTAGCCAGAATGTCGGTCGTGAGTGGAGGCCGCTGAGGAGCGTCGACAGTAAACTCACGAACCCACGGTGGTACCTCGCCACTGCTAGCTGGGTGCTTCCCTCGCAGCGACTGCACCATAGCCTCAGACGGTCGAGCCAACTCTCCTGCTGTGAGGCAAGACAAACCACGGCTCCACTCTCCCACTTTACACCGAGATCGGCACCGTGACAGGCGGATGGCCTCCGGGTCCTGGTCAGAGCACGTGTACGCAAGTGGGCGAACTGCTGGCCGTGCCGCCGCCATGGCAGCGTCGAACAACTCCCGCCACCTCCCCTCCCAGAAGGCCCCCAGCCGCTCTATGATCAGCGCCTTCTGACCTATGCCTGGCTTGGGAGGCACGGCTAGGATGAGGCGCGGAAACGCCAGGAGTAGGAGGGTAGCAGCTTCATCTCCCGGTCGGCTCTTCAGCCGCTTCAAGAAGCAACAGAGTGCGTCTAAGACCCCGGACCGGGCCCGCTGCGGGATCCGGCGCACTGTCCTCCCTCCAACCGCCTCCACACAGAAAAATGCCTCCCACTCCCATGACTTAACCCCTGCCCACGCCTCGTCCCCAAATTCCCGCGGCGTCGGTCGCTCCTGTGTGTCGGTCTCCACCAGAGACGGGATCGAGCCAAGTGCCTGCGCGCGTCTCTCCGCCTCAGCCGCCCGGCATACCCTCATGTGGTTCGCAGCGGCCCCTCTCGTGGCGAACGTGTGGAAACACGTGTCACACGGGAAACGGGGGCATGGGGAAGGCGGACTGGGTGGTTCTCCGTCCGCCTCTGACTCCTCCGCAGTCGCCATGGGGGTATCAAACTCCAAAAGTCGGCACCACTCCTCCAACTGCTGTTCCCGGTCGTCCATCGATCCCCCCCCTGCCTGCTGCGTACCCTGGGGTGCCCCGGGCACCCCCGGCTGCCCCCCTGCCTGCTGCTCTCCCTGGGGTGCCCCGGGCGCCCTCGGCTCCCCTCCTGCCTGCTGCACTCCCTGGGGTGCCCCGGGCACCCTCGGCTCCCCTCCTGCCTGCTGCACTCCCTGGGGTGCCCAGGGCACCCTCAGCTCCCCTCCTGCCTGCTGCACTCCCTGGGGTGCCCCGGGCACCCTCGGCTCCCCTCCTGCCTGCTGCACTCCCTGGGGTGCCCCGGGCACCCTCGGCTCCCCTCCTGCCTGCTGCACTCCCTGGGGTGCCCCGGGCACCCTCGGCTCCCCTCCTGTCCGCTGCACTCCCTGGGGTGCCCTGGGCACCCTCGGCTCCCCTCCTGCCTGCTGCACTCCCTGGGGTGCCCCGGGCACCCTCGGCTCCCCTCCTGCCTGCTGCACTCCCTGGGGTGCCCCGGGCACCCTCGGCTCCCCTCCTGCCTGCTGCACTTCCTGGGGTGCCCCGGGCACCCTCGGCTCCCCTCCTGCCTGCTGCACTCCCTGGGGTGCCCCGGGCACCCTCGGCTCCCCTCCTGCCTGCTGCACTCCCTGGGGTGCCCCGGGCACCCTCGGCTCCCCTCCTGCCTGCTGCACTCCCTGGGGTGCCCCGGGCACCCTCAACTCCCCTCCTGCCTGCTGCACTCCCTGGGGTGCCCCGGACACCCTCAGCTCCCCTCCTGCCTGCTGCACTCCCTGGGGTGCCCCGGACACCCTCGGCTCCCCTCCTGCCTGCTGCACTCCCTGGGGTGCCCCAGGCACCCTCGGCTCCCCTCCTGCCTGCTGCACTCCCTGGGGTGCCCCGGGCACCCTCGGCTCCCCTCCTGCCTGCTGCACTCCCTGGGGTGCCCTGGGCACCCTCGGCTCCCCTCCTGCCTGCTGCACTCCCTGGGGTGCCCCGGGCACCCTCGGCTCCCCTCCTGCCTGCTGCACTCCCTGGGGTGCCCCGGGCACCCTCGGCTCCCCTCCTGCCTGCTGCACTCCCTGGGGTGCCCCGGGCACCCTCGGCTCCCCTCCTGCCTGCTGCGCTCCCTGGGGTGCCCCGGGCACCCTCGGCTCCCCTCCTGCCTGCTGCACTCCCTGGGGTGCCCCGGGCACCCTCAACTCCCCTCCTGCCTGCTGCACTCCCTGGGGTGCCCCGGACACCCTCAGCTCCCCTCCTGCCTGCTGCACTCCCTGGGGTGCCCCAGGCACCCTCAGCTCCCCTCCTGCCTGCTGCACTCCCTGGGGTGCCCCGGGCACCCTCGGCTCCCCTCCTGCCTGCTGCGCTCCCTGGGGCGCCCCGGGCACCCTCGGCTCCCCTCCTGCCTGCTGCACTCCCTGGGGTGCCCCGGGCACCCTCGGCTCCCCTCCTGCCTGCTGCACTCCCTGGGGTGCCCCGGACACCCTCAGCTCCCCTCCTGCCTGCTGCACTCCCTGGGGTGCCCCAGGCACCCTCAGCTCCCCTCCTGCCTGCTGCACTCCCTGGGGTGCCCCAGGCACCCTCGGCTCCCCTCCTGCCTGCTGCACTCCCTGGGGTGCCCCGGGCACCCTCGGCTCCCCTCCTGCCTGCTGCACTCCCTGGGGTGCCCCGGGCACCCTCGGCTCCCCTCCTGCCTGCTGCACTCCCTGGGGTGCCCCGGGCACCCTCGGCTCCCCTCCTGCCTGCTGCGCTCCCTGGGGTGCTCCGGGCGCTCTATGGGGTCCCCCTGTCACCCCCGGCTGCCCCCCTGGCTGCTGCACTCCCCGGGGTGCCCTAGTCCTCTCCGCCCGACCACCGGTCTGCCACCCTCCCTGGGTTGCCTCTGTCGCCTCCGGCACCTCCCCGGCCTTCAGCACCCCCTGAGGCGCCCTTGTCGACCCCTGCTGACCCCCTGGCTGCTGCTCGCCCTGGGATGCTCCTTGCAACTTGGCTGCGTGTCGTCTCCCTCTTCGGCCCCGAGCTCGCGACCTTTTCGCTTGGCCTGCGCCGCCCGGGCTAGCGACCCCCTGCTGAACCCGCGCCTGTTGCTCTTGCAACCCACTGATCGGCTCTTCAAGTTGCATGCTTCTACGCTCTTGGGGCCGGTTCCTTTCTCGACACCCTTGCTGCTCCCCTTCTTGAGGCTGAGACTGATTCTCCGTTTGACACCCCTCCTGTACGCTTCCCTGCCGCTCTCCCCCCCCCTCCTCCTGTGCCTCCTCCATCTCCACCTCCAACACCTGCGGCCACTCAGCTTGCAGCCCAAGCTGTCTCTCGACCTGCTGCTCCGTTACCATTCCTATCTCTATCTCCATGTCCACTTCCGACTCCTGCTCCCCCCCAGCCTGCGGGTCTTCCTTCCCCTCTGCCAGCAGCTCTTGCTGCCTCGTTGCCTGCGGCTCCTGCTGCCCTCCAGCCTGCAGCTCTTGCTGCCTTTCAGCCGGCAGCTCCTGTTGCCCCCCCATCTCCATCACCATCATCGCCTCCGAAGCCTGCTGCCCCTCAACCTGCCGGTCCTGATCCCCCCCAGCCTGCGACTCCTGCTGCCCCCCAGCCGGCCCCTCTTGCTGCCTCCCAGCCCGCAGCTCCTGCCGCCTCCAGGTCGGCCCCTCTTGCTGCCCTCCAGCCTGCAGCTCTTGCTGCCTTCCAGCCGGCAGCTGCTGCTGCCCCCCCATCTCCATCTCCGCCTCCAAAGCCTGCTGCCCCTTTGTCTGCGGCTCCTGCTCCTTCCCAACCTGCGGGTCCCATTCAACCCCAGCCTCCAGCTCCTGCTGCCTCCCAGCCTGCAGCTCTTGCTGCCCCCCATCCTGCAGCTTTTGCTGCCTTCCAATAGGCAGCTCCCATTAACTATAGACTCTCTATATTGTACCCTCTAATATCGACCTTCTGCTGAACATTAGCCTACCACTCCACTGAATTCCGTAGTGCCCAAAAACCTGGCGTGTTCGGCAGAAAAGGAACACAGCGAAGGATGAAAGGAGGAATCCAAAATCGAGTATGGAAAGCTGCCGGATCAAACTGCCACCTCACACAGCAGCTTCGGCGAGACTCGAGAGACTCGGAATTTCGCTCTGACCTAACCTAACATCTCCAAGACCACCATCAACCACCTACCTAACCCCCGACTACAGGACGGTTCAGGACGGTTCTACACGGAGCAAAATGGTTTTCAGATTTCACCGATTTGCACCGTGGAACAAGAGATCAGACCGCGAAAAAAACGAATAGAAGACGTAACCTCCACCACACCCAACCCAATCCCAAGAACACACAACAGCCAAAGCCTGACTACGACATCAAATATACTATCTTCTGTACTGTTTTCCCGGCCTATCTGTGTAGTGCTGCGTGAGAGGATTTGCAGACTTCATGAAGACGTGCCACGTGTATTTATCCAGGAGAATTATACGAAATAATGGATTATCAGGTACTTCAGACATGAAAGAAAATAGGTAACGCGCGACGACCATTCACTACCTCGTGCTTCTAACGAAATGTCTTCAGCTACCACCTGAAACATGTTCACCGAAACACTCCAAAGACTCAATCATGCACCTGGCCTACTATCTGCCTATCATGCTCACATTTCGCACAACATCGCGTTGCGATGGAGTGAAGAACCCTCATCAGTAAAGAAACATACATCGGCTTTTCTATTTTAATATTATAGTTATCATTACTACTATTTCGACGGCTGTCTCCACAATGAAGCCTCTAAGCGTTCACATGCCGTCGGAATACGTAGAAGATGAGGAACCTTCGCCGGCCTTTCCTCAAACCAGCCTAATCCGTCGAGACCGGGACGACGAGGAATCCCATTTTGGTAACAATACCAGGGTAATTTCCCCTGAACCGCCGTCAAAAGCCTGCCTAATAGGCCTAACAATCTTCGTCTGTCTCTTAGTCGTCCTCGCGGTCCTTATAGCTGTCTGGGGCTTCAGACCAGCGGCTCCTCCGGCGGGAGATGCGGTGATGCAAGCGGAAGGGAAGCAGGTCGACGCGAGCGCAAATGACGGCGCCAGTAGCGGCGACTCGGGGAACACGGGGAACACGGGGAGCGTGGGGAGAGGCGGACAGGCTCCTCCGCCGGATCCGCCGCTGCATGACTACAAGGCGGCTTTGAGCCTGTGCCTCGATTTCTTCGACGCGCAGAAAAGCGGAGACCTGGCGCTGTGAGTGTTGCTGAGTCTTGAGCCGTCTTGTAAGGCTTTAACGTCACAAGATGTTTCAACGTCCCAAAAGGCTTCACCTTATGCCTAGCTAGATTACTTTGACACACACAAAAAGAGTGGCGACCTGGTGCTGTGAGTAAAGAGAGACGCGCCACTGTGAGTGCTGCTAACTTCTGAGAAGTTGCTAACTTCTAAGTTGCTAACTTCAAGAGGCTTCACTTCAGCAACCTAGAAGGCTTCACCGTTTCGAAAGGGCTTTTCCATCTGCTCACATTCCGCTTCCCTCCGCGCCCCTGTTCCCCCGCGCCTGCTCATCCGCCTCTCTCCCACACCTCCCCTCCCCTTGCCCCAATAACTCCCCCCTTCCCCCACCCTTTCTCCCCTTCCCCAGCCAGCACCTCCCACCCCCCCCATGTGCAAGATGGCAGGCGCGCTGGGCCGGGGAGAGACCTGGCGGGGAGAGTGGAGCGTGCAGAGCCACCTAATTCTCCGTCCGTGGCCCTGTTCCCCCGCCCCTGCTCGTCCCCACCTCTCCAGCACCCCCCACCCCCCTGGCGCAACAGCTCTCATGTGCAGGATGGGAGCGCAGTGGGGAGAGACCTGGCAGGGGGGTACTATGTGGATGGCGGGGGATTGAAGCACACAGCTCCCTATCCCCTAATGCTTCCCCTCCGCCGCTCTGCTTTCTCCCGTTCCCCTCTCCAGCACCCCCCACCCGCCGTGGCGCAACAGCTCTCATGTGCAGGATGGGAGCGCAGTGGGGAGAGACCTGGCAGGGGGGTACTATGTGGATGGCGGGGGAGTGAAGCAGACGGGGTTGACTGCATTCGCTATGAGCATGCTGGCTTGGAGCATTGTGGAGTTCGAGTGAGTGCTTATATGGGGTATGTAAGAGAGGTTATATGGGGTACGTTTGCGAGGTTATATGGGATACGGGATGTTTATTGAATGGTACCGTATGGTATGGTATGGTATGGTATGGTATCGTATCGTATCGTATAGTATCGTATCATATCGTATCGTATCGTATCGTATCGTATTGTATCGTATCGTATCGTCGTAACTTATCGTATGGTTAACCACAGTGGACATGCTTTTACAAGGCAGCATTGCTCTGAAGAGCTTGAGCATAGAGAGGATGTGCCGGGGCTCTACCCTACCTCAAGCCCTTCCCCTTCCTCCCTTCCCTGGCGCCTCCTGTATTCGTCCTGGCGCCTTCAATCCCCCTCCACTAGTCCTGAGCCCTCGAGACCGCCGGCTTTAAGCAGCGGGCAGTTGACCTACTCAAATGGGGAGTGGACTGGCACTGGCTGCTCATGGCGGACCTGGGCTGGGGCTGTGTCGTGGCACTACCACAACTCCTTGTTGCCCCCCCCCTTTCCTCTCCCTTCCAGTCCCGAGCTCGAGTCATCTGGGTTGAAGCAGCGAGCAGTGGACCTACTCAAATGGGGAGTTGACTGGCTGCTCATGGCGGATCTGGGCCGGGGCTGTGTTGTGGCGCAAGTGGGTGACTCTGCCGCCCAGGATTCTTGCTGGCAGCGTCCAGAGGACGACTCTGCCGCCCGGCCCGTGTACACGGTGGTGGGCGCGAACGGGCCCGGGACGGCGGTTCTGGCCGACATGTCTGCTGCATTCGCTGCTGGTGAGACGCCTTGGCTGCTGATGAGACGCCTTGGCTGCTGGTAAGATCGTGTGTGTGAGATAGTGCATGTGACATGACATATGATATGATTTGTGAGATAGAGAGGTGAATGCGATCAGGCTGGGGGCGGCGATTCTGGCTGTCATGTCTGCTGCATTCGCTGCTGGTGAGACGCCTTGGCTGCTGGTGAGACGCCTTGGCTGCTGGTGAGATAGTGTGTGTGAGGTAGTGTGCTGCCACAGCTTTCCCCCACCCTTCTGCTCCTGCCTCCTCTCCCCTCCCCTAGCCTCACATGTACTCAAGTGAGTTTGACCCTGCTGTGGAAGTATCCCTTATCCCGTCACACAGCTCCCTCCACTTTCGCCCTTCCCCTTGTCTCAACACAACACCCCAGCCTCTCATGTGTTTGGTGAGTTTGACCCCGGATATGCCGCCTTGCTGAGGGACTACGCCACCATTCGGGGTGACTTTTGAGTCGACTCAAAAGTCACCCCGGATATGCCGTCTTGCTGAGGGACGACGCCACCATTCCATACGTCCTCCCACTTCTTTCCCCTTCTCCCCCTTCTCCCCCTTCTCCCCCTTCTCCCCCTTCTCCCCCTTCTCCACCCTTCTGCACCCATCTCCATCACCCCAGCCTCACATGTGTTTGGCGAGTTTGACCCCGGATACGCCGCCTCGCTGAGGGACCATGCCACCATGCTCTTTGAATTCGCCACCACCGCCACCTCCACTGATGAGTGAGTGAGCTTTCTGCCCTTCTGACTGACAGTATTTTCCGCCTATGCCCCCGTTACCCCACTGTTCCCTCTCTCCACTCTCACCACGCACGCCACCATGCGCTTTGAACTCGCCTCGCCACAACCACCACCTCCACCGATGAGTGAGTTGCTTGCCGGCCTACCCCTCTGTCTGCCTCTCTGCCTCTCTGCCTCTCTGCCTTTCTGCCCCTCAGCCCCTCTGCTTTTCTTTCTTCCTGTTCTTGGCAACCAGATGGTTGCTCGCTCATACAGAAGGCTGAGTCAACTCAGCATTGCAGCTCATCTTATGACCTTGCTCTCTTGAGGCGCCTCAAAACTCATCTTATCACCTTGCTCTCCTTCCATGTATCCACTATGTCCGCGCAACCCAATCCCCACCAGCACGGCCCTGCCAGGGACTCTCCCCTACCAGCCACCCCCATCGTCCTCGCCTGACTTTCAAGACGAGCTGCTCTGGGCGGCGGCATGGCTATGGCGCACCACCATGTCTGACCCCCTGCACCAGTACCTGCTCAAGGTGAGTTCCCTTCTTCACTCACCCAGCACTCTACCTCCACTGCTGCCCACTGCCTTTCTCATTGCTGAGGTGCCTGTTACCCCATGGCTATGGCGCACCACCATGTCTAACCCCCTGCACCAGTACCTGCTCAAGGTGAGTTCCCATGTCACCTGGTGGGTGCCTACTGTCCCAACTTGCTACTGCCATGGCTGTGACGCACCACCACGTCCGACGCCCTGCACCAGTACCTGCTCAAGGTGGGTTGTCTTTCCAACTGCTGCCCACTGCTGTTGCAGTGCCTGTGTCAAACACTACAGCATGGCTGTGACGCACCACCACGTCCGACGCCCTGCACCAGTACCTGCTCAAGGTGGGTTGTCTTTCCCAACTGCTGCCCACTGCTGTTGCAGTGCCTGTGTCAAACACTACAGCATGGCTGTGACGCACCACCACGTCCGACGCCCTGCACCAGTACCTGCTCAAGGTGGGTTGTCTTTCCAACTGCTGCCCACTGCTGTTGCAGTGCCTGTGTCAAACACTACAGCATGGCTGTGACGCACCACCACGTCCGACGCCCTGCACCAGTACCTGCTCAAGGTGGGCTCCTTAGAAGCTGGTGGGCCCCATCTTGTCTTTCCTCACTCCTTTGCTACTGCCATGGCTATGGCGCACTATCATGTCTGACGCCCTGTATCTTAGAAGCTGCTACAGGGCCCCATCTTATCTATCCTTCCATTCCTTTGCTACTGCCATGGCTATGGCGCACTATCATGTCTGATGACGCCCTGCACCAATACCTGTTCAAGGTGGGTTTTGTGCTGCTGGTTGGTTTCAGTCTTACTCCCAGTCACCGCCTATATCAATTGCTACTGCCATGGCTATGGCGCACCACCATGTCTCACTCACCCCCTACACCACCAGTAGTACCTCCAGCTGGATCTCAACTCTCCCAACTGGTGAATGCTCACCTTCTCTTACCAATTCTCTTACTGATTCTCTTACCAATTCTCTTACTGATTCTCTTACCAATTCTCTTACTGATTCTCTTACCAATTCTCTTACTGATTCTCTTACCAATTCTCTTACTGATTCTCTTACCAATTCTCTTACTGATTCTCTTCCCAATTCTCTTACTGATTACCAATTCTCTTACTGATTCTCTTACCAATTCTCTTACTGATTCTCTTACCAATTCTCTTACTGATTCTCTTACCAATTCTCTTACTGATTCTCTTACCAATTCTCTTACTGATTCTCTTACCAATTCTCTTACTGATTCTCTTACCAATTCTCTTACTGATTCTCTTACCAATTCTCTTACTGATTCTCTTCCCAATTCTCTTACTGATTACCAATTCTCTTACTGATTCTCTTACCAATTCTCTTACTGATTCTCTTACCAATTCTCTTACTGATTTTCTTACCAATTCTCTTACTGATTCTCTTACCAATTCTCTTTCCGATTCTCTTACCAATTCTCTTACTGATTCTCTTACCAATTCTCTTACTGATTCTCTTACCAATTCTCTTACTGATTCTCTTACCAATTCTCTTACTGATTCTCTTACCAATTCTCTCACTGATTCTCTTACCAATTCTCTTACTGATTCTCTTACCAATTCTCTTACTGATTCTCTTACCAATTCTCTTACTGATTCTCTTACCAAGTCTCTTACTGATTCTCTTACCAATTCTCTTACCAATTCTCTTACCGATTCTCTCACCGATTCTCTTACCAAGTCTCTTACTGATTCTCTTACCAGTTCTCGTACTGATTCTCTTACCAATTCTCTTACTGATTCTCTTACCAATTCTCTTACTGATTCTCTTACCGATTCTCTTACTGATTCTCTTACCAATTCTCTTACTGATTCTCTTACCAATTCTCTTACTGATTCTCTTACCAATTCTCTTACTGATTCTCTTACCAATTCTCTTACCAATTCTCTTACCGATTCTCTCACCGATTCTCTTACCAAGTCTCTTACTGATTCTCTTACCAATTCTCGTACTGATTCTCTTACCAATTCTCTTACTGATTCTCTTACCAATTCTCTTACTGATTCTCTTACCAATTCTCTTACTGATTCTCTTACCAATTCTCTTACTGATTCTCTTACCAGTTCTCTTACCAATTCTCTTACTGATTCTCTTACCAATTCTCTTACTGATTCTCTTACCAATTCTCTTACTGATTCTCTTACCAATTCTTTTACTGATTCTCTTACCAATTCTCTTACTGATTCTCTTACCAATTCTCTTACTGATTCTCTTACCAATTCTCTTACTGATTCTCTTCCCAATTCTCTTACTGATTACCAATTCTCTTACTGATTCTCTTACCAATTCTCTTACTGATTCTCTTACCAATTCTCTTACTGATTCTCTTACCAATTCTCTTACTGATTCTCTTACCAATTCTCTTACTGATTCTCTTACCAATTCTCTTACTGATTCTCTTACCAATTCTCTTACTGATTCTCTTACCAATTCTCTTACTGATTCTCTTCCCAATTCTCTTACTGATTACCAATTCTCTTACTGATTCTCTTACCAATTCTCTTACTGATTCTCTTACCAATTCTCTTACTGATTTTCTTACCAATTCTCTTACTGATTCTCTTACCAATTCTCTTTCCGATTCTCTTACCAATTCTCTTACTGATTCTCTTACCAATTCTCTTACTGATTCTCTTACCAATTCTCTTACTGATTCTCTTACCAATTCTCTTACTGATTCTCTTACCAATTCTCTCACTGATTCTCTTACCAATTCTCTTACTGATTCTCTTACCAATTCTCTTACTGATTCTCTTACCAATTCTCTTACTGATTCTCTTACCAAGTCTCTTACTGATTCTCTTACCAATTCTCTTACCAATTCTCTTACCGATTCTCTCACCGATTCTCTTACCAAGTCTCTTACTGATTCTCTTACCAGTTCTCGTACTGATTCTCTTACCAATTCTCTTACTGATTCTCTTACCAATTCTCTTACTGATTCTCTTACCGATTCTCTTACTGATTCTCTTACCAATTCTCTTACTGATTCTCTTACCAATTCTCTTACTGATTCTCTTACCAATTCTCTTACTGATTCTCTTACCAATTCTCTTACCAATTCTCTTACCGATTCTCTCACCGATTCTCTTACCAAGTCTCTTACTGATTCTCTTACCAATTCTCGTACTGATTCTCTTACCAATTCTCTTACTGATTCTCTTACCAATTCTCTTACTGATTCTCTTACCAATTCTCTTACTGATTCTCTTACCAATTCTCTTACTGATTCTCTTACCAGTTCTCTTACCAATTCTCTTACTGATTCTCTTACCAATTCTCTTACTGATTCTCTTACCAATTCTCTTACTGATTCTCTTACCAATTCTTTTACTGATTCTCTTACCAATTCTCTTACTGATTCTCTTACCAATTCTCTTACTGATTCTCTTACCAATTCTCTTACTGATTCTCTTCCCAATTCTCTTACTGATTCTCTTCCCAATTCTCTTACTGATTACTTATTCTCTTACTGATTCTCTTACCAATTCTCTTACTGATTCTCTTACCAATTCTCTTACTGATTCTCTTACCAATTCTCTTACTGATTCTCTTACCAATTCTCGTACTGATTCTCTTACCAATTCTCTTACTGATTCTCTTACCAATTCTCTTACTGATTCTCTTACCAATTCTCTTACTGATTCTCTTACCAATTCTCTTACTGATTCTCTTACCAATTCTCGTACTGATTCTCTTACCAATTCTCTTACTGATTCTCTTACCAATTCTCTTACTGATTCTCTTACCAATTCTCTTACTGATTCTCTTACCAATTCTCTTACTGATTCTCTTACCAATTCTCTTACTGATTCTCTTACCAATTCTCGTATTGATTCTCTTACCAATTCTCTTACTGATTCTCTTACCAATTCTCTTACTGATTCTCTTACCAATTCTCTTACTGATTCTCTTACCAATTCTCTTACTGATTCTCTTACCAGTTCTCTTACCAATTCTCTTACTGATTCTCTTACCAATTCTCTTACTGATTCTCTTACCAATTCTCTTACTGATTCTCTTACCAATTCTCTTACTGATTCTCTTACCAATTCTCTTACTGATTCTCTTACCAATTCTCTTACTGATTCTCTTACCAATTCTCTTACTGATTCTCTTACCAATTCTCTTACTGATTCTCTTACCAATTCTCTTACTGATTCTCTTACCAATTCTATTACTGATTCTCTTACCAATTCTCTTACTGATTCTCTTACCAATTCTCTTACTGATTCTCTTACCAATTCTCTTACCGATTTCGCCCCACTTGCTACTGCCATGCCATGCCTTCGGGGCGCCACCTTGTCGGACTCCCTGCACCACCAGTAGTAGTACCTGGCACCACTAGTAGTAGTACCTGTAGCGGGAGGGAGCAGCAGTGCCTTTTTAGTCGACTCAAAAGTCACATGCCTTCTGGGCACCACCTTGTTTGACTCCCTGCACCACCAGTAGTAGTACCTGTAGCGGGAGGGAGGGAGCAGCAGTTCTGCTGGCGACATTCGTGCTGGGGTGCTTTTGAGTCAACTCAAAAGCCACCTCGTTCGTGCTGGCGCCCATGGAGGGGGGGGGATGAGGCCAGGCCACCACACAGGCACACACTAGCACGCACACAGCCACCATCCTCCCACTCACCCATGTCCCATTTCTCCTACCTTGGGACCCCATCTGCCCCTCCCTCCCTGCCCTTCTCTCCCAACCCATCAGCCCCAGCTGACCTCTCTGCCGTACTCCCTCGCCTTCACCCACGCCAACAAGGCAGCGGGGGCAGCAGTGCTGCTGGCCACATTCGTGCTGGGGCCCATGGATGGAGGAGGAGGACGAGGCCACCACACAGGCGTGCCAGCTTTGAGCCGTCTCAGAAACTCTCTTGTCTCCCCTCCCATCTCTCTCAACCCATCCCATCAGCCCCAGCTAGATTCACTTCCTTACACGCTCGCCTTCACCCACTCCAACAAGGCAGCGGGAGCAGCAGTGCTGCTGGCGATGTTCGTGCTGGGACCCATGGATGGAGGAGGAGGATGACGCCACCACACAGGCATATGTGTTTTGACAAGGTCTCAGAAGTCTATTCTCCCCTCTCACCCCCCTCAAACCACCAGCCCCAGCTAGATACGCTCCCTTATACTCTCGCCTTCACCCATGCCAACAAAGCATCAGGAGCAGCAGTGTTGTTGGCGACGTTCGTGCTGGGGCCCATGGAGGAGGAGGACGAGGCCACCACACAGGCATCTGGCGCTGACGTCATCTTCAGATTCCAGAAGTTCGCGGAAGCTTCCCTCTGTGCTTCCATGGCTGATGTGCCGTCCAAAACCAGTGCTGAGATGCTGGAGCAAAGCATGCCGCGCACGCAAGGTACAAAGCATGCCCCGCACGCAAGGTACAAAGCATGCCCCGCACTCAGGGTAAGTGTCTTGGAGTCGACTGGAAAGTCGACTTTTTCAGTCAACTCAAAAGTCCCGCTGTGCTTCCATGGCTGATGTGCCGTCCAGGACCAGTGCTGCGACGCTGGAGCAAAGCATGCCCCGCACGCAAGGTACAAAGCCTGTTCCATGATGATGCTTACGGTGTGAATCTCAAGGTGCGAAGCTCGTTATATGAAGCTCGTCATATGAGGCTCGTTTTATGAAGCTCAAGGTATGGAGGCCCCCCCGTGCTCCCCTCCCCTCCTCCACACATCCCTCCACACCAGGCGGCTGCTATGGATGGACGAAAGTGAGCCGCTGCATGCAGCAATACAAGCAGCCTTCCTTCTCAACACCCACGCTCGCTTCCTTCCCTGTATCCTCCGCGTGTTGCTATCCTCTCCTCCCGTACAACCCCCCACCAGGCGGGCTGCTATGGCTGGACGAGAGTGAGCCGCTGCACGCAGCAATGCAAGCAGCCTTTCTTCTCAAGGTCTACTCTCGCTTCCTCAAGGAGGGCGCAGAGGACGAGGGGCGGTGCGCTGGCATGTCGCCGCGTGCCGTGTCAGCAGTAGCACGGTCACAGGTGCGTGCAGCAATTTTGTTCAGGTCTACTCCTCCACTCTCGCTTTCTCAAGGAGGGCGCAGAGGATGAGGGGCGGTGCGCTGGTGTGTCACCACGTGCCGTGTCAGCACTCGCACGGTCGCAGGTGAGTCGAAGGATTGGATTGAATCTCATAATGCTTTGTGTTGCCGCGTGGATAGTGAACTCGATGTACGAGCTCGCTACCAGTTATGTCCTTGTGTGCAGACTTTGAGGCACCTCAAATGATTGGATCAGAGCTCATACTGTGTGTTGCTGCATGGATAGGGAATGCGATGCCTTAGCTTGCTACCAGTCATGTCAGTGCATGCAGGGAGGACTCTATTCTGTAGATTATATGCATTGTGTAGATGGAAAAATCTTTCGTGACTTTAAGTTATTGTGTGGTACTGATTAAGGAGGATGTTGGCGGTAAACGGTGACGCTCTTTTTGCCTTCTGCCACTTGTTTTTCTGACTAAACTAGACCTGTGCTTTTTTGTGTTTCAGATTGACTACCTTCTAGGGATGAACCCCCAACAGCTGAGCTACATGGTGGGCTTTGGCGAGAAATACCCCAAGTTTGTCCGCCATCGAGGAGCGTCGATTCCATCCCTCGCGTCTGATCCAACGGTGTATACGTGCTCGTCGGGTCAACAATGGCTGCAAAGCAGCTCACCCAACCCCAACATACTCTCAGGTGCACAGCACAGTGATTAGTGCGAATGCACTACTTAGGGCGTCTCCCAGTTCGGGTCAAGAGTACTGTTCGGGTCATCCGAGTTTCTTGGATGACCAATGATGTTCTAGTAGTGTAGCTAAAATGCGGCCTATTGGTCGTCCAAGAATCTCGGATGACCCGAACAGTACTCTTGACCCGAACTGGGAGACGCCCTTACACTTCACAAAATACTACATTTTTCCTTGTTTCCTGCTGTTAAAATGGTGGTGGACTGTGTTTTGGTATTCTCAATGCGCAGGAGGTGTGGTGGGAGGGCCAGACCATGACGATAATTTCAATGACTCAAGAAACAATCGCCTAAGTGAGCCGGCTATTTACATAAACGCCGCCCTTGTAGGTCTGCTTGCTTCTTTCAGTAGTCAATAGTACATAGATTGGGCTGACATGTTTTGCATGGGTGGTATGGCAATCATTTGCCCACATTCTGTGGCTGTCATTATGGATCCCCATATGGCATGTACATTGTGTACGACTCATTGAATCAACCAGCCCCTCGGCTCAAGTACTGTAATACTGATTCCTTTCCAAATGGAGACTAGCTCAAGTTATTCGTGGTTCTCCATTTTAAAGGCTCTGCATCTTTTGAAAAAGAAAGTTAAAGCTCTAGGCCCAAATTGCGCAAGATTACTAATCTTGCGTGCTGTGGGATGGGTTTGGGTTCGGGAGTGTTGGGAAGGTGACCTCTCTGATTTCGCCCATAACACTGGGTTTTTTCGCTGAGTCAGCGAGCTTCAGGGGGAAACTTGAGTTTGGGGACCTCGAGTCCCAAATTGCAGAGGAGTAAAACTCGATGTTTTGGCAGTGAGTTTTCTTTCGACCAATCAGATTGCATCGCACCTACTGTAACCAAATTTTCGCCACACACCAGCTCAGAAAACGAGATTACTAATCTTGCCCTGCGCGGCCCGCAATTTGGGCCTTGAGCTTTAATGAGTGGACATGATTGGTCTACACCGAAGTTCCGGATACGCCGCAACAATGTTCAGAACAGTTTGTTTTACTTTTTAAAAGGTCAGTTTTAGGGCGCGTTCCCGGCTGGTGTCAAACTTCGGGCCAAGTTTGCTTGGTGTCAGGCTCCCCAGGGGGTTCTGACACGAAGAAACGATTTTGCCCCATGCCTGTCATATCCACCTCGTGTCAAGCAGCCTGGACCGAAGTTTGACACCGGCCAGAAACTCCCCCTTAGAATGGGTTGGTTGGGCTACAAAGCAGGTCAGGCCGTCCCTCCGCGGACGCGTCCCCTCAACGCCGAACCTGCGATCGAACCTACGCAGGGTCGATTTTTTACGTGGTTTAAAGAATGACTAGAAGTTTTGAATGCAATACGCGGGATTTTATTGCGGTTGAGGTTCGAATTTTGCACGATCGAGCCAGAGGGGACGAGTCCTTACGTGAGATTTGGTTTGGTTAGAACAGTTCATTTTCCCCATGGCTGAAGTTCCTCCCCAAAGAACAACTGCTTCCGCACTCTCCCACTTGCGCGTCGCGTGCTTGCTCCCTCCTGAATTAGTTGCCTCACTGGTTGTCTTGCCTCACGCAGCCATGGCTGCCAAAGCACAGCAGCAAGTGGCAGAAGGTGCGTATGGCTGCGAAGCCGACCTACAGCTGTGGGACCCTCCTAACTTAGAAGGAATTGAAATCGGTATGGCTGATAGGAGAGTTTTGAAAAGTAGAGGCATTGTTGGTCCCTTCCACGACGAGCCAGCGTCTGTCCGTCGTTGTCAGAACAGAGTGCACGTGCCTTACTTATGGCGAGAACCAGCATATCCTAACAGACAAGCCGCCTCCGTTGCTCCGCCTGTCCCGCAAAGCTTTTTTGCAACTCGTCAAATCTTGTAGTGAGCTTGTCTCACACAATTCCACACGAAAAATTCCCTCGTCCTCACTTTCTCTCACATTCGCTCAGACTTGCGCGGGTTCGCTCTCTCAAAAGTAACACCTCGACATCCTCATTTGACAGATGCGTAAACCTGCGTCGTTAGTGTTCCGCACTTGAGCACTTGAGCGGCCCCGTAGGCTTTTCAACAACGAAAACGTGTATGCGGGTCGTTACGATGGCCTCGCATCTCCGCTCAGTCCCATCTCGCCGCTTTCCGCGACAAACCGCGAGCTCCCGTCAGTCCTCCTCCTCGTCCCCTTCCTCTTCGTCTTCCTCCTCCTTTTCCGCAACGCGTACGTTCATTCAACGGTTTTCGTCGTCCTCTTCATCACCCTCCTCCTCTTCCCCCCCTTGCTCCTCCGTTCTACGGTCCTCCTCGCACAATTCCAGAAGACGGCCGATCGGCTCCCACTGGCGATGCTCTTCGCAAATCTTCGCAATCTTTGTCGCTGCTGTTTTCGTTCGTGCGACAAGTGGGGGACAGGATTCGCGAAGGAGCCTGATTGGCCACGACCAGACGTCTCAGGTGCCGGCGACGGTTCTATTATCGCCAGATCCGGTCTTTCCTAACGTGCTGGGTCGCATCAAGATTTACGAAGAGGACGGAATGAGCAGCCAATTAAAGCCCGTGGCGAGCGGTTTGAATTCACAGCAACAAGTCTCTTCGTCGCAAGAGTCGTCGAAACCGTCGCAAACGTCGCCGTCGGCGCCGGTGACGTGCGATTTGGAGGATGGGTCATGGGAGGCTGACGACTCGTGGCCGCTATACCAATCAGAGAGCTGTCCGTTCGCGCGGGAAGAAACGATGTGCGCGAAATACGGGAAACCTAACTTGGACTATGCGAAGCTGAGATGGGTGCTGACTGGCGAAAGTGGTAACCCTGATGGCGGTTCTGGCGACAGCAGCGAAAAATGCACAGTTCCAAAGATCACGGGTTCGAATCTCTGCAAACGCGTCGCAGGGCATCGCATAGCGTTCGTGGGAGATTCGTTATCGCAAAACGCGTTTGAGTCAATGGCGTGCCTGATGCACCGATTCTCGGGAATGCCAGAAGTGCGGCTGAACAATCACCGGGATCGCATGTACCACTGGCATCAGTGCAACTTCACAATCGCGTTCTCGTTGTAAGCAGACCCGATATGCCTTGTGTCACTCACTTTCGCTGCCATTCGTCCTCAAATTGCATCCTGTCATCCCACTCTCCTCTACTGCTTTCTACCAATTACCCTTTCGTCCACCTTATCCCCCATTTGTTTCCCTTCCCCCCCTCCTTTCCCCATCTTTTCTTTTATTTCTCCATCCCCAGTATATTCTTTTCCCCCGTTCAGAATTCCAACCCTTCCAATACCCCTTGCACTCTTTCATCCTCCCTCACTCCTACCTTCCCATAGTCTTTTCGTTCAACCCCCCCCTTCCCCCTTCTCCCCTCCTCATTTCCCCCTCTGCGAATTCGCAGCCACCAGTTTCTGTCCGAGGTCGTGTGGAACAAGGTCAAGGTGTCAGACGGAGGTGCCATCCTGCTGGACCAATCAGGGAAGAGATGGACGAAGCACATTAAAGCCTTCAACACGTTCGTTATCAACTCAGGTAAGAAAACAATCACCAAAGCACACACTGATGCAGTCACACTGATGCATTCAATGAAGCAATCACCTAAGCAATTACCGAAGCAGTGACTGAAGCAATCACCGAAGCTATCACCAAGTCACCGAAACAAGGAGGAGCAGCCTCTGCGTAGTAAGCACACAGATACGCCATCAATTAGCAAAGGAAGAGCATCTTGGCATGCTTAGGGTGCCCGAGGAAGGAGCTGACTTGTTCAAGCTACCACACATCCCTCTGATGATCTCCCATGTGGCCTCCATATCACCCACACATCCCTCATGTATCTCCCACACACCCCGCATTTCTCGCGCATCTTTCATATCACCCACACATCCCTCATATCTCCCATCCATCCCTCATATCATCCACACATCCCTCATATCACCTACACATCCCTCATATCTCCCAACCATCGCAGGTCCCAAGCGCCTGTCATATTTCTCTCACACTTATCATATATCCCAAGCAGTCCTCATATCTCCACAACCATCCACCCACATCTCCCATAACCTGCAGATCTTTCATACCCCTCACATTTCCCACACACCCCTTATATCTCCCAGCCGATGTCATGGCTCGGCACTCCTTCCAGCCCTTCATTTTCAGCCATTGCTTCTTTTCCCTCCCTTCTTTCATCCTCTCCTCCATTTCACCCATTTCCGTGCATGAGAGTGTGCGAAACAGCAAGAGTAAATTCACTTCACTAGGCATGCCACTCATCAGTTCCCTTCCTGCTGTTCCGTTCCTACACGTTACGAACGTTTTCAATGTCCTGCCCACCCTTCTCTCCCTGCTTACCCTCCAGGTCATTGGTGGTCAGAACGACAACTGGCGCGCTACAACATCACCCTTGCACCTCCGTACAAATCGCTCCACTATCTCCTAGCATATCGCCGCGCCCTCAACCAAACCCTCTCCGAGTTTCTGCACCCAAGACTCGCTAACAAGCAGGTTTTCTTCACCACATCTGCCCCGTCCCACGACGTGCACGGTCTCTGCCCAGAAAAGGAAATCGTGAGGAAGACAGACACGAAGCGGTTCAAGAGGATGCGCCTCCCGTGGACGGTTGAAAAGAATAAAGTTTTAGTCGATGTCGTTCGGGGGTTTGAGGAGAGGCAAGCGCGATCTGAGAAGGGGTTTGTGGGAGCGAGAATAAAGCTCCTAGACATGTACAACGTGACGCTCTATAGGCAAGAGGCGCACCCGTCGACGTTCAATGCGAGGGGTAATTGGGATTGCTTGCACTACTGCTTGCCGGGAGTGCCTGATGCGTGGAATGAGATTCTGCTCTGGCAGATGGAGGCTGGAAAGCGCTAAAGGCGCTATTTGTCAATGTCTAGGTATGGGAATAACAAGGATTACCTCAAAGCATATTGTATTTCCTCAATACCATATGATTTGATTTGATTTGATTTGATTTGATTTGATTTGATTTTGTACGGTAGAAATAGCTCCTGGAGTCACACTGAACCAATCAAACATTTAACATTCTAGCACCTTTGTGCAAAGCGACAACAGTGATATAGGTCAGCTTGCAACGAATTTGATTTCCGCCAGCTCACTCCCTCGCTCGCGGCAAACCCAAGACCGCATCAGCAACACAACCACATGCTTCTGACATTGCCCACCGATTTCTAACGGTCAAGTCTGGTTCTGTACAATCTATAGCGGTGCACTCTCTATTCTCATGAACGGTTCTCATGAATTTGTACACAGCATGACTGGTGTGGACCACCCCCGTGACCGGCGCTGACCTAGGAGGCTAGGTTATTAGGGGCTACCACATGGCAGCATGACATGTGCTCCATTAGCATATGGACTTCATGAATGGTCGATAGTCTTGCTATTTATGTACGGTCTCCCTTTCCTCTTTAGCAGATTCTCCGTCCAGCTTTCCTGGTGCTTCCAGAAGTAGGCAGGTTGCATGCGCATGTGCATTTAGCCATGATTATTCCGTATGTAGCTGACTCCCTTTAGATTTTAATCGGAAATATGTGAAGCCGTCTGCACTAACAACAGCGTTTTCAGATAGTGTGTCATTAGTCAACGCCTGCGTTTCATGCATGCTAGTCTGTTATTTTTCATTCTTCCTAACGTGCACTTATCGTTAACGACGAGGAGAAAATGCTTTCGCCTAGAAAAACGCACATCAACGGAACAGCATTCGAGAATGGTAGATAACAGAGAGTAAGAATTTGTCAAAACTCACCCGACTACGATCAGAAAGCTCCTCAATGGAGCGACGTTCCAGGATGAAAGAAGCCATGGCGGAAGGCTTTAGAGAAGCCAAAACGTGGGTCCAGAACCGGCCCGAAGTCATCAAAGCAGGCTGCCTCGCCTTAGCTCTCTCGCTCTTATTCATAATCTACGCTCCCGCGTTCTTCTTCGGGTTGCTCGTCGGTGCCTCCGCCGTGATCGGCGGCGAGGTCATTCTTTTGAAGCATCTCTGGAAGAAGATTCGTCCTCCGAAGAAGGAAGGTTCGGAAGGGGGGAATGCGCCTGCGCCGGATCCTGTACCCGAGGACCTTCTGGAAACAACCTCGTTATTGAAGGAGGTTCGTTTATAATTACCATTACTTCCAATGGATTACATTTTGTCTCTTTAGTTGTATTTACGTAGCTGGATTCTCCTGAACCAGAGGAGCTTCTGGTAGCAAATTCAATTCTGAACCATCTGAAAGGGTCCGATCGTTCCCATTAACGAAGGCCTTTCTGTCATTGACCTTTGTACGTGTTACACCTTCGAGTACCGAGTGTCTGCTTTCCGTAATTGTTAAATTCCTTGTTCAGAAAGCGTCTGTAACCCTAATGGGTTAACCTGTCACAACAGGTAGCTTGTCATTCCTGATGGTCATTCGATTAGGACTAAGATAAGACAGGTTCTAATTGCGCCTCCCTGAGCGAAGGCAGGCCAGACCCGGTAAATTTCTCTTCCCTCTTCACCCCTCCGAACTCCTTCTCCTATCCTGACTACACAGAGCGTGGCGTGGGTTTCCCTACGCCCGTGTGAGGCGGACGAGGGCAAGACGGGGTCAGGCAAGCTGCGCAAGAACGTGAAGCTGTTCGCCCCGCTGCGCAGGAACGTGAAGCTGTGACACACAGTAGCCCCAAACCTGAACGCCTGTGAACCCCCTTTTCCCCCCTGCGAGGTGCACAGAGCGTGGCGTGGATTTCCCTGAGGCCATGCGAGGCGGACGAGGGCAAGACGGGGTCAGGCAAGCTGCGCAAGAACGTGAAGCTGTTCTCTCCACTGCTGCGCCTGGCGAGTCTGGAGGTGGAGGAGCGGTTGCTGGCGCTGGGGGGCAGCCAGGGCGAGTCAGAAACGATCCCTCTGGATGGGTGCGACGTGAAGAGCTTCTCAGAGACCAGCGGGCCGGAGAAACGATGGTGAGATGGAAGGGTGAGGGAGAGAGGGTTTGGGAGGGAGAGGGGTTGGGAGGGGGAGAGGAGATGAGAAAAGAACGTACAGGGAGTGGTGCGAAGGGAATGGGTGTGGAGTGGTGCAGAGGGATGGACGGAGATTCTGGGGGTTGAGGAGCGGGTGCTGGTGCACTGCACTCTCGTCTTGTCCAATCTAACCCCCTCCATCCCCCCTCCCTCTCTTCCACCCTACCACTTTCCCCTTTCACCCTCGCAAGTTCCCCCCTTCCCCACTTCTCCCTCTCCCTCTCCCTCTACCTCTCTCTCTCTCCCCCCTCACCCAACCCCATCCCACCAATCACAGGGCTCGCAAGTTTCCCATCCGCATAAGCCACCCGTCCCGCATTCTCTTTCAAAACGCCAGGGAGTTTTTCATTTACTTTCCCAACGGCCGCGTCAAGCAGGCCTGGTGCCGAGCCTTGCGCGCCGCAGCCTTCCCCGAATCAGAGGACACCCTGTGGCAGGTTCGGGTCTCCCAAGCCTACGCCGTCTACCTTGGGAAGATCCGAGCCTCGCGGCCAGACCTGTGGGTGAATGTGGAGGCTACTGAGTTGGAGGGCGGGGGGGAGGATGCACGGGGTGAGGGGGAGGGCGGGGGGAAGACTGGGCGGTGGGGGGAGGGGAGGATGGGGCAGAGGAAGTGGCTGAGAAAAATACGGACAAAGCAGGGTGGGGGAATGGGGCCCAGGATTGGCAGTGGAGGTGGGGGAACTTGGGTGTCAGGAGGAGGAGGAGGCGGCGTATGGGGGGGAGGAGGAGGAGGCGCGACAGGGGCAGGAGCAGGGGGAGGGGGAGGGGGAGGAGCAGGGACGGTAACTGGGGAGGATTCGAGTGGGGAGGGGGGTCTATGGGGGAGCTTTAGCATGAGTTCTTGGAGCAGTGGCAGTGCGAGTGGTGGGGGTAGCGGCTGGGGCGTACGGAGTGGCAGCTTCGGTACTGCAGGCTCGGAGGGGTCGTTGCTTCGGCCGCCGAACCTCAAGGCTTTGTTCAGGAAGGAGCAGTCTCTACTGCAGCAGCCAGTGGTGCAGGGTCAGAGAGCGATGCTGCCCCTGCCTACTCCTCCGGTGGTTTCTACTGTTTCCATGCATGCAGCAGTAGCTCAATTGCAGCAGCAGCATCAGCAGCAACAGCAGCAGCATCAACATCAGCAGCAGCAGCAGCAGCAGCACCAACACCATCACCAGCAACATGGGGATCTCCCCCCTCTGCCAGCCATCCCCTCTGGTCGCTCAGTGCAGTGTTCCCAATCGGCTGCATCAGATGCTGCCACTACCGCTGCTGCTGGTTCTGGTACCGGATGGATTGGTGGGCCGGGTAGCATTGGGGGTAGCAGCAGCATCGGTAGCAGCTGTGGCGATCCTGCTGGCGGTGGTGGCGCTGGTGCTACTGGAAATGCTGATGCTGGTGGTGCTGGGGGGGGATGGGAGGACGGTCCTGCAGGGGAAGAGAGCTCTCTATGGGCTTTCAAGCGCAGCCACACGGACTCATCTGTGCGTCATCGACCGAGAATCTATAACGCTGAAACAACAACCAGCAGCAGCGGTGTTCCCACCTCTAGCACTGTTCCCTCCTCTAGCGCTGTTCCCTCTGGAATCAACTCGTGTGGGATCATTCACACGGGGATAGGGGCATCAGGAATCAGCTCATCAGGGGTTAACTCATCAGGAGTCAACTCATCAGGAATCGGTTCAGCAGGAAGTAACCTGTCTGGATTCAGCCTGTCAGGAATAAATCTGTCTGGTGTAAATTTGTCTGGGGTCACTTCGCCTGGAGGCAGCTCGTCTGGAGTGAGGAAGAGGGGGCACGGGGAGCGAGTACAGCAGCTGGAAGGAGTTGCAGAAGGGACTGACGCACCTTTTGACGGCCCTTTCCCCTCGTCACTTTCAGATTCTTCAGCAGCAAGGGGGGTAGGAGCAGCAGGAGCAGCGGGGGCAGGGGGGGCAGGGGGAGCAGCAGCAGCAGCAGCGGCGGCGGCTGTGGCAGCAGTGGATGAGAGTGCGGAGGAGAGTGGGCCGTGGATGTTCAGTGGGCCTGTGACACAGGCAGAGGCTGCAGCAGCCGTCGCTGCCATTGAAATGGCCCAGAGGGCGCCCGTGGCACGTGGGACATGTGGACAGATGGACGGGCAGGTGAACGGTCAGGTGGGCGGCCAGGTGGGCGGTCAGGTGGACGGGTGTAGTGCGCTCAATACGCCAGGTGCCAGTGGCAGTATGCCCGACCCTAGTGACCCTAATGTTGGCCAGTCGTTGAGCCAGCAGCAGCATCGCGGCCCCTGGGGCGCGGTACTGTCTGGCCAGCCCTCCACTCGCCCTCCTGCTGCTCCTCTTGCCAGCACTGCTCCAGATGACGCTGCTGCCACTGATGCTACTGCTGCTGCGGCTGCGGGTGCTGCTGCTGGTGGTGGTGCTGGTGAGAGTGGCGGTGGTGGGGTGGGGGGCGGCAGTGGGGAGCCAGAGGCAGCGGTGCAGTGGGCGAATGCGCTGCTGTGCCGTCTCTACTTTGACCTTTCTCAGGAGGACGCGCTCAGCAAGAAGCTCCAGGCCAAGTTCTCGGTACGTTAACGTGCAGTGCATTGCAGTGCAGTGCAGTGCAGTTCAATGCGGTACAGACCACCCAACGTCTAGGTACGTGCAGTGCTAGCTAGAAGCACTCTACTTTGACCTTTCTCAGGAGGATGCTCTCAGCAAGAAGCTCCAGGCCAAGTTCTCGGTACGTTAACGTGCAGTGCATTGCAGTGCAGTGCAGTGCAGTTCAATGCGGTACAGGCCACCCAACGTCTAGGTACGTGCAGTGCTAGCTAGAAGCACTCTACTTTGACCTTTCTCAGGAGGATGCTCTCAGCAAGAAGCTCCAGGCCAAGTTCTCGGTACGTTAACGTGCAGTGCATTGCAGTGCAGTGCAGTGCAGTTCAATGCGGTACAGGCCACCCAACGTCTAGGTACGTGCAGTGCTAGCTAGAAGCACTCTACTTTGACCTTTCTCAGGAGGATGCTCTCAGCAAGAAGCTCCAGGCCAAGTTCTCGGTACGTTAACGTGCAGTGCATTGCAGTGCAGTGCAGTGCAGTTCAATGCGGTACAGGCCACCCAACGTCTAGGTACGTGCAGTGCTAGCTAGAAGCACTCTACTTTGACCTTTCTCAGGAGGATGCTCTCAGCAAGAAGCTCCAGGCCAAGTTCTCGGTACGTTAACGTGCAGTGCATTGCAGTGCAGTGCAGTGCAGTTCAATGCGGTACAGGCCACCCAACGTCTAGGTACGTGCAGTGCTAGCTAGAAGCACTCTACTTTGACCTTTCTCAGGAGGATGCTCTCAGCAAGAAGCTCCAGGCCAAGTTCTCGGTACGTTAACGTGCAGTGCATTGCAGTGCAGTGCAGTGCAGTTCAATGCGGTACAGGCCACCCAACGTCTAGGTACGTGCAGTGCTAGCTAGAAGCACTCTACTTTGACCTTTCTCAGGAGGATGCTCTCAGCAAGAAGCTCCAGGCCAAGTTCTCGGTACGTTAACGTGCAGTGCAGTTCAATGCGGTACAGGCCACCCAACGTCTAGGTACGTGCAGTGCTAGCTAGAAGCACTCTACTTTGACCTTTCTCAGGAGGATGCTCTCAGCAAGAAGCTCCAGGCCAAGTTCTCGGTACGTTAACGTGCAGTGCATTGCAGTGCAGTGCAGTGCAGTTCAATGCGGTACAGGCCACCCAACGTCTAGGTACGTGCAGTGCTAGCTAGAAGCACTCTACTTTGACCTTTCTCAGGAGGATGCGCTCAGCAAGAAGCTCCAGGCCAAGTTCTCGGTACGTTAACGTGCAGTGCATTGCAGTGCAGTGCAGTGCAGTTCAATGCGGTACAGGCCACCCAACGTCTAGGTACGTGCAGTGCTAGCTAGAAGCACTCTACTTTGACCTTTCTCAGGAGGATGCGCTCAGCAAGAAGCTCCAGGCCAAGTTCTCGGTACGTTAACGTGCAGTGCATTGCAGTGCAGTGCAGTGCAGTTCAATGCGGTACAGGCCACCCAACGTCTAGGTACGTGCAGTGCTAGCTAGAAGCACTCTGCTTTGACCTTTCTCAGGAGGATGCGCTTAGCAAGAAGCTCCAGGCCAAGTTCTCGGTACGTACCCTTGCCCCCCCTCTTTCCGCTGTTGAGCTGCCTATGAGTTCGGTTATGCCCCCCTTTCCCATAACCCCCGCCCTCTCATGCCCCATCCGCCCCACCCTACCCCCCATTCGTCCAGGAGAGGCTATCGCTAGTCATCACGCCATCCATCATGGAACGGGACCCATCTCCTGCACCATCCTTTCTCTCTTTCCCCATGGCCATCCGCCACGGAACACGTTCTTCATGCTGCCCTCTCCCATACTCCCCCTCCCCCATGCCCCTCCAGGAGAAGCTATCGCTAGTCATCACACCATCCATCATGGGACCCATCTCCTGCACCAGGCTGTCGCTCGGCCCCATCCCGCCCCTCATTCGCTCCATGCGCACGGTCAACCTCGCCATGCCAGGTGCGCAGGAATTGCCTCTACTCTACCATGTCTGTCCATGTTAACCCCCTTCTTCCTTCCCATGCTCCCCCATCCCAATCCTTTTCTCATGCTTCCCCAACTCCCTCCTAATTCGCCTACACAATAATTTTCTCCCCTCTTTGTTTCCTACCCGTGCTTCTCATCCCCACCAGGGGGTGACTTGGCTCTAGACGTAGATCTGGAGTTCAGGGGAGCAGCCACTATGACCCCGTCTCTCATGTGCTTCATACCTTGTTCCCTCATGCCTTTGCCTTCAACCCTTGTTCGCACGTCTCCTCCCCACCAGGGGGTGACTTGGCTCTAGACGTGGATCTGGAGTTCAGGGGAGAAGCCTCTATGTCTTCATGCTTTTCTCTTAATTCCTTTCTTTCTACCCTTGCATCCCCGTCTCTACTAGGGGGTGACTTGGCTCTAGATGTGGATCTGGAGTTCAGGGGAGCAGCCACTATGACGATAGAAACCAGCATTGACATGCGAGAAACGCAGTTCCTTAAAATGTGGGAAGAGCGGGACCTTTCCCGGGCAGAAAATGAGTCTGAGAGGAGTAAGGAGTATTCCGGGCAGGTGGAAAGCACTCCGTTGACCGCAGGCGCGGAACCAGCATCTTTTGACGGATCAGCTCGAGGTTCGGCAGCTGCAGGAGGAGGCTCGGATGGAGCAGGTTCGGCCGGACCTGGAGCCGGACCTGAGCGGCTGGTTCGGCGAGGGTCGGGCATGGGAGAGGCTCTGATGAGTGATGAGACTGCTGCTGCTCTGGTGGGGGACATGGAAGTGGCTGAAGATGTGACTATAGAGGGCGGTGCTACAGCCCCTGCTACCCCTGCCAAGAGCACGCCAACCAAAGCAGGCAGGAAGAGGAATATCATTCGAGGGGTGCGAGGCATGGTCAGCAACATGGCCAACAGCCTCTCGCAGGTGAGCATCCCCCAGATAAGGCTCCCCCAACTGAGCCTTACCTGGGTAAGTATTCAATGCTCACATGCTCTTTGCATTCGAGGGGTGTGGGGCATGGTCACCAACATGGGCAACAGCCTCCCACAGGTAAGTCTCTTCCTTATAAGGTGAGCCTCCTCCAGGTAAGCCTCCCCCAGGTAAGCCTCCCAACAACCAGGTCCTCCTTACTCTCTCCTTAAGTTTTCAACATCACATCCGTTAAAGGAACAGTGCTTTGGACACCCTTCCCCTTGTTCTTCCCCTCCCCTTTCCTCCTCTCACCCCCTCTTCCTCCCAACCCCCTTTTCTCCCTCTTCCTCTCACCAGGTCCCTCTGACTCTCTCCTTCAACATCACATCTGTTAAAGGAACACTGCACATCCACATGCCTGCCTTTGACGCTATCCCAACCCCCGTTCTTCTCCCCTACCCCAACCAGGTCCCTCTGACTCTCTCCTTCAACATCACTTCCGTTAAAGGAACGCTGCGCATCCGGGTGCCCGCCCCGCCCTCCGACCGCCTCTGGATGTCGTTCGTTGAGATGCCCGAGATTGAGATGCAATCCACACCGTCCATTGGCGATCTCAAGCTCAAGCGCTACCCCATGGCCACGCTCCTGATTGAGAAGCTCAAGGTGGGTGGTGGGTGGTGGTTGGGAAAAAGGGTGGCAAGGCTGGTGGGTTGGTTGGGATGGTTTGCTCCCAGGTGCAGCTCGTTTTGTTGTGCCATGTGTGTACGTGGGTGGGTGGGAAGCTCAAGGGCTACCCCATGGTCACGTTTATGATTGAGAAGCTCAAGGTGGGTGGGTGGTTGGGAAAAAGGGTGGGAAGGCTGGTGGGTTGGTTGGGATGGTTTGCTCCCAGGTGCAGCTCGTTTTGTTGTGCCATGTGTGTACGTGGGTGGGTGGGAAGCTCAAGCGCTACCCCATGGCCACGCTCCTGATTGAGAAGCTCAAGGTGGGTGGGTAGGTGGATTGCATACTTTCAGTATGTGCATGGGTCCATTGGCGATCTCAAGCTCAAGCGCTACCCCATGGCCACGCTCCTGATTGAGAAGCTCAAGGTGCGTGGGTGGTTGGGTTGGGTTGGGTGGGTGGGTGGGTGGGTTGGTGGGTAAGTGAGTGGGTGGGAAGCCCAAGCGCTACCCTGTGATGATGCTCCTGATCAAAAGTTGAGGGTATGATGGTGGCCCTCGAAACCATTCGTGTGTACAGCGCCAACTTATGCCCACACCTCCAGATTCTCCAAATCTCCCCCCCCCCCTCCCCCCCTTCTCTCCCACCCCCATTAGGCACTGATCAAGCGCTCTCTGGTGTAGGCCCCCACGACACCCCCATTACTGGTTACCCCTACATCCGGACTAAAAACCCTAAACCTGCACCGTCACTCCTCTCCCCAACCCCCCCATCAGGCACTGATCAAGCGTTCTCTCGTGCAGCCAAGCTGTGTGGATGCCAAACTCCGCTTCATGCTCTCAGACCCCCACGACTGGTTACCGCGTCAACCCTGCATGTTACCCTGGCGCCCCCCTGTCGATGCCTCTGTCACCCCTCCTCCCTCCACCCTCCCCGCCGCCTCCTCCTCCTCCTCGTTCTTCACTCCCTCGTCGTCCCAAACCTCTCTCTCTGGTTTGACCCAGGCCTCCAATGCTGGCTCGGACAGCCGAGGCTCGGATGCCCGAGGCTATACGGTGAAAGGCTCAGGAGCAGGTTCGGATGGGGAAGGGAGAGATGGGGAAGGCTCGGGTGCAAATATCGGTGATTCTGGTGGAATTAGCAGCACCAGTGGCAGTGGTGGTGTGGCTGGTGCTGCTGCTGGTGCTGCTGCTGGTGCTGCTACTGGTGGGTCAGGAAGTGGGAAGATAGGTCGGGATGGCACGAGAGGGTCTGTGAGGGGGCTGGTGGGCGGGATAATGGCGAGAAGGCAAGGAGCAGTCACAAGCAGCCCTGTGCTCGATCTAGTCGCAAGGCGCACTGGCAGCAACCAGAGTCTCGGCTCTGGTGCCTTTTCTGCTGCTGCTGCTTCTGGGGTTCCTAAATCACCTATGAGGGGTGCGGTAGGTGCGGCTGCTGGTGGAGGACTGGGGACAGCAGGAGGAGAAGGAGGGGAAGCAGCAGCTTTGCTGGTGTCGGGGAGAGGAAGCAGCAACCGTGACTCGAGTCAAGCTGTTTCCGACTCTCTCAATACCTCTCTGGTCCCTTTCAACCCTAACGTGTGCCCCTCTTCTCCTCTTAGAAAACTCTCGCCTTTCCATCTCGGCACAAGGGAGCATGAGCCTCAGCAGCAGCAACAGCAGCAGCAGGGCACCAGTTTCTCTTCCTCTACCTCCCAATCCATACCAGCAGCAACAGCTACCAGCAACACCAGCGTCCCTTCCCCATCCTTCTCTGTCTCCTCACCCCCAGTACCTCCACCCCCTTCCTCCCTCTCAACCTTCTCACCGCTCTCCACTCCTGCTCTTGCCTCTTCCACCTCCACGGCTCGCCACCTCTTTTCAGCTGCCAAGTCACACATAAAGAGTGCAGCAAATGCAATCAAACCCTCCTCTTCCACTACAGCCTTCCTTTCCTCTTCAGGCGAATTCGGTAAAGCCAGTGAAAGATACGCTTCTCTCAGCACTGTAGCTGTTGCTGCTGTTGGGAATTCTGCCGCTGAGGTAACAGGAACAGCAATGATGGCGGCAGCAACAACGGTGTTGGGTGCTGCAGCCGCCACTGCTGCTGCAGGCGCTGCTGCCATTGGTGGTGGTGGTGCTGCTGCCATTGGTGGTGGTGCTGCTGCTGCCATTGGTGGTGGTGGTGCTGCTGCTGCTAATGCCGTAGGTTCGGTTGCTGCTGGCACTTCTGCTGGTGCTGCTGCTGGCGTGAGTGGTGGTGGTTCTGCTGCCAGTATGGCGGCAGGTTCGGGGGCAGGCTCGGCAGAGGTACTGGTACATCAAACTGCCACGTCACCACCAGTGCTCCGACTCCCATCTTCAAGCTCATCCCCTGACATTGCTGAATCACAGCCGCAGCTCCAACCTGCGTCCGTCTCATCCTCGTTACTGTCCGATTCGCTATTGTTCGACAAGCAGCAGGGAAGCAACGAAAGTAAGGTCAGCGCTGCTGGTGGCACGGGCGGTGGGGGGGGTGTGGTGGGGCTGGGTGGGGGCATGGGCGTGGGGCGCATGAGAGCGAGCATGGCTGGGGAGTTGTTCGAAGGTCTGAGGCTGTCCAAAGCATCACGCATGGCTGCTAGGGAGAGGAGGAGGGCTGTAAGGGGCCGTGGAGGAGCATGGGGAGGAGGAGGAGGGGGAGGAGGGGATGTGGATGGGGATGGAGGTTCTGCAGACGAGGCTTCAACACAGCAGCAGCAGCCGGTGAGAGGGTTTGAGGCGTTTAAACAGAGTCTCGGAGTGCTGGGGAGGGAGAAGGAGAGGGACCGGGAGAGGTGGGCTGTGGCGGCGTTTGCAAGGGTGGCCACTATAAGGAAGAAAGCGAGGGGGAGCTGGGATGGTTCAGAGTTTAAGGGTATGGGGGATTTGGAAGATGCAGGGCTGGATGGTTTTGACGGTTTGGAGGGGTTGGATGGGGTGGATGGGCTTGATCGGGATGCCTCTGCTGCTGCTGCGGGTGCTGGTGGTGGCGGTTCTGGGGTGCCAGGTTCGGCAAGGGAAGACGTTGGCTTTGGGCTGTTTTCTGGGAGAACCGCTCTGATGATGGTGGGAGGAGGATTGGGAGGAGGAGTGGGAGGAGGGGTGGGGGGGTTCAGAGGTGCTGCTATGGGGGCTGGGGGTGGACGTCTGGTTGGGGGACTGAGGAGAATTGCAAGGAGCAAGAGTGGGAAGGGCAGGGAAGAGGAGGGCATAGGTACAAGCCAGGGAGCGGGTTCAAGGGAGGAAGGGGAGGAGGTGGGGGCGGAGGGGGAGGAAGGGGAGGAAGGGGAGGATGGGTCAGAAGGCTGGGCTGATGCGAGAAGCAATACAGTGCCGATAGTGAGGGCGAAGAGCTGGGAAGTGGGGAATACGGAGGTGATGCGGACCCAGCTGTCGTCCCGCAGTGTTCGAGGCGAGGCAGGGTTGGCAGGGTTGGGTGGGGATGGTGTGGAATCGACTGCTGGAAATGACTCCGAACGAACGGTTTCTTCTTGTGCAATCACAACAGCTGAACGCACAGCATCGCCAGGTGTTACAGCCAGCACTGCAGGAAATGCTGCTTCTGGGGGTGTCGCCACTGTAGTAGCAACCAGTAGGGATAGACGAGGAAATGGGGGAGCAGCAGATGCGGCAGCGGCAGCTCTAGTGGCTCGGCAGCAAGAAGGCTCCGGGTCTGGTGGGGAGGGTGGGGAGAGTGGGGAGGAGAGGGAGGGAAAGTGGGGGGATAGGATGGCTAGGGCGAAGGAGTTCGTGGGGAGGATAGGGAATAGGGAAGCGAGAGAGAGGCTTGAGGACAAGGCTAAGAAAGTCTTGGGGTTTTTGCACAGAGGTGAGAAAGGAGAGCAGTGAAAAGAGATGAGTGTTGTTGCAATCGCATATCATGTGACGTGTAGGCAGAGCATCAAGGTGAATGTGTATGCTATTTTGCGTTTTGGGTGATGTGAAAAATGCTTTTCTTTGCATGAGTGTGATGATCTATAAAATGTTAGGAAGGGGTGCTTAGCTAATGTATGGATGTTGCTTACCAGAATCTGCACTACCGCGTCGGTGCTTTTCCGGTTTTGTAAATTTTGCGAGTGTCGGCTGTTTCCTGCGACTGCCCTGATGCTGCGAAGGTTTCTGTTCCTGTGGCGGGGACGAACCGCATTTGTGTCAGCTCTTCGCCAACATTCGAAAATTTGCATCACGATGCCACTTCACGCGGTCCTATCCCCTCCGCTCCGCAGTCACGCGCACTTTCTGGTCAGGCTGGCATCATGAAATCTAACCAATTTCATAATTTTCTTTATCTTGACCGTCCGTTTGATCGTAACCAGTCCGTCGACCATCCATCTGCTCGGATCGCATTGCAGGCACAGGCAGGCAATCTCGAAGCACCTCGAACTTCTCGCCGTGCCTTGAAAATTGCGAGTTTCTGTCCCTGCAGGATTCTGAGTCTGAAAATTGTGTTTCTCCCCGAAGCCACACAGCAGTAGCTAGTTTCCCCAAACCCACACGTCGTTCACAATTGTATGCTCAACTTACACCGTCAATCCAGTCCCGTCGTTGACAATTATATGCGCTAGCCCACGCGGATGTGGTCTGGCCGTGATCGGCTAATACAAGTCGCATCTGTGCTGCGCTAGCTACCTCCATACTTCTAAATAAACAAGCCGTACTTGCTGTAACTTTAGATACCGCGCCTCGAACGCCAATATCTCTTTGGCTTCGACTGTTTCTCTGACAGACACTACGTTTCGCCTAACAACCACCGTGAACGTCTCAGAAACTCCAAGCTTAGTATTGCAATTAAACATTCGTACTTCGAGCATTTACGACCCCGGCAAGAGCGGTTACTCGTTACAAGCGCGTTATTTGCAGACTTAGCGTTGTATGCACCGAATTGTCGGAGTTAGTCGGTCGAAAAGGCAAAACGACGAGATGCTGGTAAGTCTAGACACGGATGCCTAGTGCTGGCGTGGTTCAAGTGTCCGTCTGGTTTTTCTTCGTGTGCAAGTGAGATGGAATCTGAGTAGACACGGTAATCGCGTTGCGATCACTACGACATGTAAAAGGCTCGCTACAATCTCCTTGCACACTTCTGTTAGCCGCTCCTGGCGACAGAATGTGAGTGCGTCTGTGCTTGTCATTTTCCTCTTAACATTAATCGCTTTTTTTTAGTCGACTCAAAAATCGACAGAATGTGAGTGCTTCTTTGCTTGCCGTTTTCTTCGAGCATGAAAGACGCTTGCAATGTAACGCAGATTATTTTCCACAGAAACCACGACCAACGATTTCTTCCGTGTTCCCTTGTGGGAACGAATTCAGAAGCTCTATAAAAGAAAATCGACAGCATATGAACCACACCCATGGGAGCTGCGCCGGCGTTCTCCACACGCAACTTAAGCAGCTGATTCACGCTCTCTTCCGCCCTCTTTCGCTCTCTTCCGCTCCCGCTGCTTCCCTCGTTTCCCACCTCCCTCCCCCGCCTCCTCCCCCCCCTCCACCATCTCTTTATTTTTCGTGTTTCTCCACCTTTTGTTATTGCGTGACAAATTTTCCGACAGTTTCGAGCGGCGAAGACGGTGGTATGCTGCACTCTCGGGCCCATCGTATGGGGATTGCTATCGTTGCTCTTCCTCCTCCTTATCGCCCTTGGAATCACGGCACTTGTGCTCTACTTCGTGTACAAACCGCAGGTTCGCCGCTTGATGTTTTCAAGTCCAACTTTCACGCCTTTTCCCATATGCTTGTGACTGGTGCTTGAATGCCAGACTTCCCTTTCTTATTGCTCACCCAAATAGCCTTTTGTTTCTCCATATCCCTTCCCTCTCTGCCTCCCTTCCCTCCCTCCAGCTACCAGAGTGCGACGTGCAGAACGTAACAGTAACCAGACTGAACGTCACTCGCCTGACTTCGTTTCCCTTCAACGAAACGACCTATGCAGCTCTAGCCACCTTGAGCGCCGCCGACAGAGCAGCCGCGCTGGGAGTCACAGGCACCGACGTCACAAACTCAACTGACCCATCCTCCCCGTTATTAGCTTCTCCGCTAGATGCTCTCGGGAATGCCTCTGTGCCGCCGAGGTTGGGACTGAATGCTGACGTGGGATTCACACTGGAAACGCGGAATCCGAACAAGGTCGCCATTGACTATAAATACGTGAATGCGTCGATTATCTATCGAGGCGTCACTGTGGGAAACACGACGGTAAGTCCTATTCTATGCCCTTATGCTTTGCCCTTTCTTATTCTTGAGAAATCCTTTTCTGCATCCGCTTCTTACTCGTTCTCCTGTTTCTTAATTCCACATGAGAGATGGTGAGCAATTGTCATACAGTTTTTCATGAGGAAAGTTCCCACAAATACCATGTCTTTTCACTGTTTGGCTCTTTTGCTGCTAGTATTCACTCTTGACCTCTTACCATTCAGATTGGACCCGTCCTGCTGCAGATCCCGCCATTCACGCAACAGGCAGGCACAGACCAACATGAGCGATGGTTCAGCTGTCTCAAAAACCGCATTATTGCTCTGTCTCATCTGTTTCCTTATGGATTGCCCCTTGACTGCTGCAGATCCCGCCATTCACGCAACAGGCGCAGACCAACATGAGTGTTCCAGCAGAGCTCCTGGTCCTGGATTTTCCACTCGATATAGTCACAGGACCAGTCATGCTGGCAGATTTGAATGCTGGCAACGTTCCTCTACAGGTATTGTTCCTCTAAAGGTATTGTTCCTAAACAGGTACTGTTCCTCTACATGTTGTGTTCCTTGGCACGTACGGAAATTTTCCTCAATAGGTGGGGCTCCTTTGCAGCTAATTTCCCTCTCTGCATCCTTTTGGCATCCGCTCGCTTGTCTTCCCCTTGTTTTGAGTCGAGTTAAAAAAAAAAAAAAAAAAAAAAAAAAAAAAATCATCTGCTGGTTTGCCTTCCCCTTGCGAGCAACAGCCCTATTTTTTAGAATTCTCAGGAGTCTCTGTGTCCTATTATCCCCATGTCACAATCGCTGCTTCAACTTGGAGAGAAGGCTCGCTATACAGTTAGACGCCACAGTTGCGTCTCACAGATCTGTTTTCAGTTAGCAGCACTTCAGCACTTGAGATGTCTCCTATCCCACTCTGCTCCCCTGTCCCCATGGCACAGTTGCTACTTCAACTAGGAGCAAGGATCAACATTTTAGGGGTGGCATCTCCGTTTGCTCTGGTGAGTGCGCATGCCCTTTCTCTTCCCTGTAATCTGGGTGAGTTTGCACCCCTGGCCCTTCCCCCTTATATATACAGCCTCCAATATCTCTTTAACTGCTCCTTTCTTCTATAGCGCCCCTATTTACTCAGTACTTCTGGTCCCTCTGCGTATTCCCTCCCGCGCCGTTTTGCACCAGGTCGGTTTGTTGTGCGATGTCACAGCTGATCCAATAACACGGACAGTGAAAAGCACAAGCTGCTCATTACAAAACGTAGGGTTCGCATGAGCTACCAGGAAAGAGCTCCGTCCAGTAGTGGACAAAATGGTGTTTTCTGTTGATGTGAAATGTACAGGAGGTGTAATCTTAAACGGTGATCTTGTGTTAAAGCATCTGATACAGGCAAGGCACGTTGTTAGATCCGTATGTTTCTTGGCTCTAAGCGGCTGGTGTTCGCTAGACATTGTTATAACTGATGTAACAAGGATATATTTGCCAACTCTACACTGCACCAGGCCTTACTGTACTCTGCACCAAGAAGAGCTTTATCTGGGGTGGTAGATATGCAGACCAGTGAAGGAATCCTACTGCATTCAAAATCAAAAGACACTGCAGAGCATTTTAAACTGTGCAAAAAACGACCTAATAAAAAGCATATTGTAGGAAAGTTTACAGCAGCTCACCAAGAACAAATTCCTAACAGCAAGCACACATGCTGTGTCTACTATGATCAACTCCATAAGACCAATATGCACATACAGAACACTACAGTGACAAGACAGTTGCAGTCTTGACCCTGCCCAGAATCGCTTCCTGCATCATCTCCCCTTCATCCTCCGTGCCTACATCATCCATGTCATCACCACCACCATCCTCGTCAGCATCCGCATCATCCACGTCAGCACGACTAATGTGATCATCCACATCATCCATATCAGACTCCTCCGTGTCATCCCATGGCCCCGATTCTTCCCCCTCCTCTCCTTCCTCCTCTTTCCACTCTCCATCCCCACCCAACCCATCCTGCTCTCCCCTCCATTCCTTCACTTCCTCCCCCCCATTCTTCATCCCAACCTCCTTCTCACTCCCCAAACCGGCTCTTTTCCTCCCTCCCTCTCTCCCTTTGATAGCTCCTCCCTTCCAAACCAGAGGAACAGACGTCCATGTAGGTCCCCCTGCTGCCATCACCCCAAGCCTTTCCACACCTCCCGCCGAGCCTCCCGCCGAGCCTCCCGCCGAACCTCCTCCCGAACCTGCAAGATCGCAGCATAGGGCATCCGAAGCTGGAAGAAGGGTACCATCGGAGTTTTGGAGGTATCCCCCAAAGAGGAAGATTCGATTCTTGAGAATGGTGTGTTCAAAGTGAATGCGGGGCAGCAGAGGGTGGAGAGGGAAGAGAGGAGCGGCAGCAGCAGCAGGAGCAGGAGCAGCAGGAGCAGCAGCAGCAGCAGCACGAGGAAGAGGTGGGATGCGAGGCTGATGCTGCAGCCGGTGCTGCTGAAGCTGCTGGTGCCTCTGCAGCTGCTGGTTCTGGCCTCGACCCTGCTGTTGGTTTCCCTGCTGTTGCTGTTGCTGTTGCTGTTGCTGTTGCTGTTGCTGTTGCTGTTGCTGTTGTTGCTGCTGCAGTGTTGCCAATCCAAGGTGGTTACGAGTGGGGTGTGTGGCATAGGTTGGAGGCACCTGCAACAACAGTCCCACAACCGCACACAACCACACAGCAAACATGCAAAACACAGAGCAACCACACAGTCAGCATGCATGTAACAATCTTTCACGGACATGTCACGAAAGTTCATGAGATGTTACCCTGACTCACCTGAAGCACCTTCCTCCCCTTGGTAACCGCATCGTACACGTGCAAGCACCCCTCCCTTCTCCAGACTAAGAACCGAGGTACTCACCCCACGCCCCACTGTGCTGCTGCATGCTCCAGCAACCACGTCTCGGGGTGCAGACCCTTGCCGGGAGGCAGGCAGACCCTTTTCTGGCTTTGGTAACTGCGTCGTACACGTGCAGACACCCTTCTCGCCGCCACACCAGGAACCGAGGTACACACCCCACGCCCCACTGTGCTGCTGCATGCTCCAGCAGCCACGTCTTGGGATGCAGACCCTTGCCGGAAGGTAGGGGGGAGGGTAACCCCTGCACGCCCTTGCCTCTACCCACCCACACCCACCCGTTCCTTGCATAACACGTCCATGCACTCACCTGCAGAACCTTCCTCCTCCTCCTCCTCCTCCTTACGCCTCACCTGTAACACTTTTCTGGCTTTGGTAACCGCGTCGTACACGTGCAGACACCCTTCTCGACGCCACACCAGGAACCGAGGTACACACCCCACGCCCCACCGCGCTGCTGCATGCTCCAGCAGCCACGTTTCGGGGTGCAGACCCTTGCCGGGAGGCAGGGAGACCCAGGCGCTGGAGGCAGGGTCGTACATGCACACTAAGTAGGGCGAGCGGGCAGAAGAGGGAGGAGCAGTGGTGGTGGTGGTGGTGTTTGGGACGGTGTTGTTGGGGGTCCATACGCCACGAGCTGCAGCAGCAGGGGGAGGAGGAGGAGGAGCAGGAGCAGCGGGAGTGACCGGACCAGCACCAGCAGCAGCAGCAGCAGCAGCAGCAGCAGCAGCAAGAGAGATGTTACGGTTGGTGAAAGCTGCAGTCACGAAATTCGCAGCATTGGCAGTAGGTGCCGCATCAGCAGCAACAGCAGCATTGGCAGCATTCGCAACACCAGCTCTAACCCCACCCAGTTGAAGCGCATCAGCAGCAACATCTGTAACCGAAACCCTAACCTGGTTTCTTCCAAGCAGGAACAGGCTCCCTGCCAGCACCACGCCACTGCACTCATAACACGCCATTGGCATTTCAGGCAACCTCTCCCACACATCAGACTTTGGATCGTACATTTCCACGGTGGAGAGCGGTTCACACGCCCTTCCTCTCTCCCACAGACGCCCTCCTGCTACAATCACCTTGCCTTTAATCACCCCGAACGCGAACCCCACCCGACCCTGGTTCATAGGTGCAGCACGCACCCATGCGTCCCGGACCGGACTGTACCTCCAGACCTGCACCTCTCGTTCGGCGAGCTCAGGGTTGGGAAAAGTTACTTCAGGGTTGGCAGTACCAGCAGAAGCAGCAGCAGCGGCACCGTCGATCGCAGCAACAGCAGCCGCTGCTGCTGCAGCCATAGCGGTTCGGTCCGGGGCTGCATCCGAGCTTCGGGTCCAGACCCGGTGCCGAGCCTTTGCCGAGCCTCGGACGGCGAACAGAAGGAGTTCCGAGCCTAAGGCTTGAAGGCGGCAATCCCAAAGCGTGCTTGTGTCGGTAGGGTTGGCGAGTTGGGGAGGGAGGGGGGCGAGGGGATAGAGGGAGTTCGAAGGAGGGTGAAAGCCCACCAGACGAAGGCAAGAAGGAGGGGAAGCAGAGGAAGCGGAAGCAGAGGAGGAAGAGGAAGTAGAAGAGGAAGCGGAAGTAGAGGAGGAAGAGGAAGTAGAGGAGGAAGAGGAAGTAGAGGAGGAAGAGGAGGTGCTATCATCAATGCTGCTTGCGCTGCCTGTGCTAGCTGCCCGAGAACTCCTTGCAGGTGAGACAGAACGAGCAGAGTGGCGTTTCCCACTCGTGCAGGCCGAGTGGGAGGAGAGGGGCGGCTTTCCACTCACGCCACACGGCCTCCAAGTGTTGCCACTGCTGTTGTTGTTCCTGGGGTCTGATCTTGCTGCTGCTGGCAGGGACGGCACGCCGCGTCCCACTGATGCCACTGGTGCTTCAGTGGGACCTGCTGACGCAGCCGGGGCAGCTGGCGCGGAACGCGCACGCACTGAAGCTGATGAGGAAACAGCAGATGAGACCCGCGGGATCACAGAGGTGTTCCCAGGAAGGTGAGGTGCGGAGGGGTAGGAAATGGAGGAGGGATTGGAGGAGGTGGCGGAATAGGAGGTGGAGGAGGAGGAGGAGGAAGAGGAGGAGGAAGAGGGATCAGAGGACGAGGGCGGCACTCCAAGGTCGGAGATGGAGAGGGTGGGCAGGGAGAAGCGTGTGTTGAGGGAAAACTGCAGGCTCTTACTTGTTGGCACTGCTGACAGTGCAGACAGTGCTGAGACTGCTGACACTACTCCCTTGCCCTTGCTCAACGAGAGAGTGGATTGCAATTTCTTGCCCTTGGCCTCACCCTTGTCCTCCCAGCTCCATCCCCTTCCACCTTCTCTAGTCAAACCGCTCAGTCTCTCACCGCTATCAACCGCTTCCTTACCTTTCCCTCCTCGCTCCCCCCTCCTCCCCTCATCCCCTTTGCAGCTGCTCCCCCCTATGCCACTACCTACTCTCTCGTGCCTGCTCCCACTTCTGCTTCTGCTCCTGCCCACGCCACACTGCTCCTCTCTGCCCTTGCTTTTCCCTGTACCGCCGCAATCGCTTCTGCTTCTCCCCTCGTCTGTCCCCCTGCTGAGACCACTGCTGCTAGTACTGCTGCTAGCACTGCCGCTTCTGATGCAGCTGCCACGTGGATTCCTATCGCCCATTGATCCACCACGTGTCGCCCTGCTTGGACCAGCAATCGCCCTGCTGCTACTGTTATCACTCCACCTGCTAACTCTGCTGATTATTCCACTGCTGCTTTCGCTGCTGCTTCTGCTGCCAAACCCGCCTACATCTCTGCTGTTCTCCCTCCTCCTAATGCTGCCATAGCTGCTTCTTTCCCTCCGCTCCTTGCACATCCCTCTGCTCTCTCCATCCATCATCCTCCCCTCCACACCCCTTCCCCTCCCTTCCTCACTTCCCCTCCTTCCCTCCACACTCCTCCCCCTTACCTCCACACTCCCATCACCAACACCACCCCCCTCGTTCCCCTCCCAAGGCACGACCATAAACACCCACTCCTCTAGCCTCTTGCTCCTCCTCCTCAGCTCCCGAACCTCCTCCCCTGCCAGACCTCGCTCCCAGGCTCGGGAAACAGATCGGCCCGAAGCTACGTTCAGCCATGGGAGTCGGGAAAGGATGTCTAAGCCAACGTCATCGGGCAGGTTCGGAAACAGGCCCGGCACTGCCTCGGTCTCAGGTCCGGGAGAATCATAGCTTAGGGACTTCACTCCAGGTTCAAGTCCAGGTTCGGGTCCAGGTCCGGGTCCTGGTTCGGGTCCATATTCAACATATGGTTCAGGTTGAGCCAGTGGCAAAAGGTGAACCTTAGCTTCGGGTTCGGTTTTCGGTTCGGTGATCATCCCTCCATGACTGGTTTGTACAGTAGATCCCTCCATGGCATCCTTGGCAAAATGCAGTAAAGGTGGTATACCACCATCTCCCATGCCAGGATGAGTCACGCCATCTTCTGTCCCATGCACCGCCCCTTGCGCCTCCTCAAGCA